AGTCCGCCCAAAAGGGGAAGTTCTGCCGTTACCGGCTATGTCCCGGCGATCGGCGGCAATCGCTAACAGAGAGCACAGCTGCAGTAGCTGTGCTTTCTGTCAGTTCCCTGACAGCTCCAGGACAAGCTGATCGGGACAGAAGAGTTTCTCTCTCCCGATCAGCAGTGTCTGATGCAGTACACACCCCTGCCCCCTAGTAAAACACTCCCCTCACACAGTTAACCCTTTCCCTGAAAAAAAAACTTAACCCTTCCTCCCCAGTGCCATTAGTACAGTGTCAGTGTTTTTTTTTTGCACTGATCACTGTATTGGTGTCACTAAGGATGTCAGTGACCCCAAGTCAGTACCCCCCAATGTCAGAATGTCCGCCACAGTCCCGCAGTCCCGCCATAAGTCGCTGATCGCCGCCATATGTCACTGATCGCCGCCATTATTAGTATAAAAAAAAAACAAAAAATCCCAGTATCCTTCCCGTCATTTGTAAACGCTATAACTTTCACATAAACCAATTAATTTGCATGTATTGGGGGTTTTTTTTTAGCAAAGACATGTCGCAGAATGCATTTTGGCAGAAATTTATGACTAAATTTGATTTTTTTTTTTTTTTTACTGGACATGTTTTATAGCAAAAGTCCAAAATATTGTTTTTTTTTCTCAAAATTGTCAGCCTTTTTTTTTATAGCGCAATAAATAAAAACCGCACAGGCGATCAAATACCACTGAAAGAAAGCTCAATTTGTGGGAAAAAAAGGATGTAAATTTCATTTATGTACCGTATTGCATGACCGCGCAATTGTCCGTTAAACTAGCGCAGTGCTGTATAGCAAAAAAATGGCGTAAGTTGCAGTATCTATACCATAGTTTGTAGACATTATAACTTTCACACAAAGCAATCAATATACACTTATTGGGATTTTTACCAAAAACATGTTACATTTTGGCCTAAATTTATTTTGAGTTTCAAATTTTTTACCACTGAAAAAAGAAAGCTCTATGTTTGGCCTTTTTTTGTTTATGTGAAAAAAAGGACCAAAAGAAAGCTCTATTTCGTGAAAAAAAGGACGTAAATTTCGTTTGGGTGCAGCATTGCATGACCGCGCGCAATTATCAGTTGAATTAGTGCAGCGCCGAGTAGCAAAAAGAGGCCTGGTCATTATGGGGGGTAAATCCTCTGAAGGTCAAGTGGTTAAATGCCCGTGCAATTGCAGCCTAATTTATTTTAATCAGCTGATGCACTGTGGGTGTTCTGATTAGAAAAGTTGCAGTGTCTGCATCCCTTTAGGTGATTAGCTGCTGAGGAGCATCTCGCCAACAATAACATTTATGTTGCAGAGGGTGCCTAAAAACCTGACTTGTGTCATAGTGCAGAGTTCTTTTGGAGGTATTCTGTACACAAATAGTGTACAGAACACCCCCAGGTTTACATACTGCAAATGCATTTTTTTGCCGGGAGTTCTTCTTTATATCTAGTTAATATGTTATCATTAATGAGGAAACACAATCTACATTAGGTCTCTGCTTTTATTCGTAATGTGCGCTTCCCTTCATTCCATTCTTTGCCAAATAAAAAATGTTAATACAGTGACTGTAGATAAGATCAGAGTACTGACTGTTATTATGTGCAGTACAAACAGACAATTTCACTATACAGTTATACACAATTACCTGCAATTTTAGACATGTCTAAGATAAGAAATACACATTTCTCTATGAGGTTTAACTGGTTCTGGGCTTGGAAGTTTCACGAAATAATTTCAATGAAAAGCTAGTGAAATCAGAGCTGAGTATTTTACTTTGGGAGCTGGCAGAATATATTAAAGACAGATCATTCTACAACGTAAAATGTTTTCCGCACAGGCTGAATATAGTCGTTTACTGTTCATTTTAATTAATCTTCTGTAACATTTGAATTGTATGTTGAATATACACACTTAAAGGAGATATACAGAGTTGTGGAGGCATAGATCTTTCTTTGCAGGGGGCATCACAGCCAGGTTGGTCTGAAGTATAATCAAATTCCGAAAGAAATTTCTTTCGAAAATCTTTTCTAAGAATTTTCATTTGAATTTCACACTAGTGGGTCAGAGAAATGGCTGATTTTCTTGTGACTATTGAATTTGAGTGATCGGGCATGTTGGAAATTTAAAAAAAATTAATGAATTTCGAATTAATGATGGGAGAATCGTGCAAGAAATATAAAGCTGTGACCTTGAAAGAAAAGAAAATTCTTAGCCATGAAAAATTTTTTTCTGTAGCAACTTGAGGAGAAACTGGAGGCTTGGTTGGTTGAATTTTCGAAATCAATGGTGGCACCATTGGATTACAAAACGCATGAAATTTCTGATTTTCTAAAGAAAATTAGTTCATAATTCGACCCATATATGGCCTGCCAAGGGGCAGACTGACAACTCATGGGGCCCCCAGGCAATAGGGGAGCATGGGGCCCCTGTGCCCTTGCCCAAACTCAAAAAAGCCTATGAAAAAGGTACCAGGGGCATCTCATGGGGCCTCCTACTAACCCCGGGCCCTCGGGCAGTGCCCGAGTTTCCAAATGGTCAGTCTGCCCCTGGGCCTGCAGAAGTCAGGGACCAGTCTCCCAAGCGAGCGCTAAATGAGAATAAATATATAGTAGCTGCTAGTACTCAAGATATAGGCAACAATCCCAACGCAAACATGTATATATAAAAGTGCAGCACTATAAACACACAATCTGTTTACTAGTAATGGTGAAGTAATAAATATGATAAATATATATGTTAAGTCACTTTGTATAATCAAAGGTATATATAGAGAAGATAAAGTGCCAAACAGTGCAAAAGTGCAATAAAGTGAATCAAGTAATGTCCGTAATACAATATAATATTGAATATCAATCAGCAAATTTCAATCAATAATTGTCCTTATATAGATCAAATGCAATGTAGCCAAGTGCAAAGTGCATGCATGCAAGTATTCACGAAGGGGATCCACCACCTTGGACGGATGTACACTCAGCAGAGAGTAAACACTAATAGGCATCTGTTTTAATCTGTCACATCTGGAAGTGAAGCAGCAGCCAAGGGGTTACTCCTACTGCTTTATCTGGAAAGAGATGGGGAGGGTGCCCTTGTCCTGGGAAAAATAGCTCAACCACAGAAGCCAGAAATGCTCCTCTGCTGCCACTTCCAGCAATGTTTCCTCTCTACTTCCTCCCACCTCCAGGTGGGTCTAAAAGTGTAAATAAATGGAATCCAACTATTAATGTTTGTCTTTAATTGGTTTAGGTTCTGCAGCTTGCTGTATACAACTTCATTGCATTTTGAATACTAAAAGGCATTCACTCCAGGGTGGTCCACAAAACAATTGTTGGTTCAAAAGCCCAGTTGCTTATGTCTTATAACAATAGGAAGACCTCCTAATTCAGCAGTTCTAAAACGAAGGCCCACAGGTTAGTTGTCCGCAGTTATGGTCCATTGCTTACCATTTTCCTGCTTATGTAAGGAGAAGGTCCTACTCATTGCCCCCACCTCACCAACGGAGCCTTTGTACACAGAATGGCAATGTTTCAGCACTGCTGGAGTAAATAAGTCAGTACTGTTAGGCAGAGTGACGTTCTGCTTGATTGTTCCTGTACAGTTCCATCCATGGCCTCATGCAGCCAGTACAGGAAGACTGTAGAACATACAGCATATACAAAGCAACTGACCACCCTCAATCCGGGGGGCTTTCCAAATCCAACTGACACCAATGACGGGGCATGATTCTTCTCACTGACACCAATGATGGGGCGCTATTCCTTTCACTAACTCCAGCAAAGGCACTATTCCACATCCTACTGAACACAGATTTAAGCTACCACAGATGCAAGGTCCTCTAGTACCCAAGGCAAAGATGGCAAAATGCACCAGCCCCCAACCAAGCTCTTTAATTTGACATTCCAAAACTAATGCACATTCAAAACAGTAAAAGGAATAAAAAAGCTAGGAGAAGAGAGTGAAGAAGTAAATAAAATAATTAGGGGTTTGCCTGTAGTTCTGCCTAAATTGTACTGTAAGGATAAATCTCAGAAACTCTGTAACTGATTAAATATCCTTTGAAATACAGTAAATACCTGCTTCGAAATACAAATCGTGTTCCTCTTTCTGGAGATACTTGGAAAATACATGTTTTTGGTAAGAAAGCCTCTTGGATTTATAAATGGGCCTTCTAATTTTATGGTTGCCCTAGGCCCACTTGTGTCAAGATGTTCAGACTAGTGTGTATGCATCGCTTTGCAAGTTTCAACTCAGCAGTCGAGTTTGGCAGGCACTACAGCTGCCAAACATGGCCATTAAAGTCACTAGGACTACAGTACAACTGAGCACCAAACACAGCAATGGAAAGCGGACCATATACGGGTCGAATTCTGAAAGAATTTTTTTTTTCGAAAATCTTTTCTAAGAGTTTTTGTTTGAATTTTGAACCATTAGTGGGTCATAGAAATGTCCGATTTTCTTGTGACCATCAAATTTGAGTGATCAGGCATGTTGGAAATGTTTTGAAAAAGGAACAAATTTTTAATCAATGATGGGAGAATTGAGCAAGAAATATAAAGCTGTGACCTGGAAAGAAAAGAAAATTCTTGGCCACGAAAATTCTTTTCTGTAGCAACTTGAAAAACTGAAGACTTGGTTGGTTGAATTTCTAAATCAATGGTGGCACCATTGGATTACAAAACGCACAAAATTTCTGATTTTCTAAAGAAAATGAGTTCGGAATTCGACCCAAGTATGGCCTGCAGAAGTCAGGGACCAGTCTCCCAATGTAAAGTGCCCTTTGAGATTGAAAAACAGATCATTAGTGGGTGATAGTATCTTCTCCTGTCAGTCTGTACACCAGAACTAAATTGAAAACTATTGTGCATCGCTTTTCAGAGCCTGCTGCCTGTGTAAAAGAACGCTTGTGGGTTTTTTTTTTACTAAAATCAGAGACTGCAAAATCTGGTGCAGCTCTGCACAGAAACCAGCTATAGAAACCATAGAAATCAGCTTCCAGGTTTGATTGTCAAAGCTTAATTGAACAAGTTGAAGATAGAAGCTGATTGAATACCATGTGCAGCTGCACCAGATTCTAAGTGCTCCATTTTTAGTAAATCTACCAGGGATGCTCTAGAGTAGGAGATTGTTTAGATCCTAGGGACACTTGTGTAGGTTTGCAAATTTCACCTCTTATCGGCACCAAAAAGGCCATTGCCATGAACCAATGTACTGAAGTGCTAAAAGTAAAGAATCAATATTGAGACCTAGGCTGTTTGCATTTTCAGGAGGTCAGCAGTGGCAGCCTCCATATTTCTCTCACAGTAGGTTTCTTTTAAAACGTCAATTTTAACTACACAAATGTATAGCTCGCTAGGTTGAAGTTAAGTGAAAGCTTTAGAACCTCAAAGGCCCCTTCATCAATGAAACCCTTGTGGAGTGTCAATAAATATGTTTACTGGGTGGATGTACTTCGTCATTCTGATATTCCTCAGCATTCCGTCTACGTCATCCATTAAAAGAATCTTGTTTACCCAGCTTTTGTTATTTTTCATTTTATTACAAAAGCACTCAATGTTGCATCTAAATGAAGGATAATCACTTTGCTCTGATTTCTGATCCTTTAAATCTGCATATATAGAGGTCGACTGTTCTGTATATGTTGTTGATTTGATTTCCAGCTAAATTACAAGTTACCAGATTAGAACCAATTCATGAGATGATATTTAATTGTGTCCCACAGGGGGAGAGAACACAACAGAGAGAGAGGAGTTATAACATGACAGTGAGCGGATTCATCACAGAGGCAGGGAGGGTAGGGGGGAGATTAGAACACTGAGAGATGGAGAGCTTACAATATTGACAGCAAGAGTCACATTTATACAGGCTAGAAGGACAGCGATTGTGGGGTGAAGCTAATCTAGTGAGTCTCACACTAGATGATCAGGCTGATTTTCTTTGACGAACTGAGAATTCTTAATAGCAAGCCATGTTTTCCGGAGCTAGTTCCAAGGCTACAGATACTGCTGCCATTCTTTTAAAGTGTATTTCCACTTTTGCAGCCAAATTTGGATAATGCCTACTTTATAATTGTTGCATACTCATTGGCCACTTTATTAGGTACATCTGTTCAATTGCTTGGTAACAAAAAAAATGCTATTCACCCAATCACATGGCAGCAACTCAATGCATTTAGGCATCTAGACCTGGTGAAGACGACTTGCTAAAGTTCAAACCGAGCATCAGAATGGGGAAGAAAAGGGATTTAAGTGACTTTGAATGTAGCATGTTTGTTGGTGTTTTTCATGCAGTAGCCTCCCTGGCGGTATTCCCGAGTGTAGCTCAGGGTATAGTTTCAGTACCACAAGCAGTAACCCTGAACTACACTCGGGCTTACCATGCGGCATTGCTCTGCTATCCCTCGATCACTTACCTTGTCCTGCGCTCCCGCGATGTCCCTCCTGCAGTGTCCCCGGCAATGTAATCCGGGGGATGCCGGCATCTGTCATCTGGGTTCCGTCCTCTGCAAGCGTCGGGACATACGGGGGACGGAATGGCAGGAAATTTGAAAATGACAAAAAGTGACATTCACAAAAATCACTAAAATCACATAGTATAACATTACTGTACCAAACCATTTCACATACATTTTGTCCCTAATGCTTTGTCCTGTGCCCTGCCTGCATTTTGACTGTCCTTTCTACCTGGAAACTGAAAAATGTCCATGGCGTCCAAAAAGCGTCCCTTTAGGTTAAAAGCGGTTTTAGATCAGCTAGAGAACAGCGATAGTAAATTAGAACCACTTGCAGAATTGAGTGATAATTATTTGTGGGGAAATTCGTCATCAGACACTGAAAACGATTTTGCGACTTTGCTCAGTGATGTGCGAACTTGGCGCTATATTTCAAATTTCAGTGTTTTTGGTTTGATTATATTACTGAATTAAATTTACTATTATATTATTATTTTTTATGATTATTTATTAAATTATAATTTATGATTTCGTGTTTCAAGTTTTATCCTACCCGGGATGTTTACTAGGCTCTTGTTCGGACAGATTTCAGTGAGTTATTCCTAAGAATTACAGGCCTACAATATAAAACACCAACTTTCCATGCAAAATAATGGTACCGCTTTCCGTAACTTAGATTGTAAGCTCCCAGGATCAGGCCCTCCTAGCCCTTTTGTATTGAACTGTATTGTTGCTGTATTGTCTCCCTTTATATTGTAAAGCGCTGAGCAAACTGTTGGTGCTATACAAATCCTGTATAATAATAATAATAACTTATTTAATTCCGATATTGTTCCATGTAACATTTGTTAATCTTTTAGACGTAAGCTTCAGCAACATAGAGTTAGTTGGGTACAGGGGCGGACTGACCATTTGGAAACTCGGCACTGCCCGAGGGCCCGGGGTCAGTAGGGGGCCCCATGAGATGCCCCTGGTACCTTTTTCATAGGCTTTTTTGAGTTTGGGCAAGGACACAGGGGCCCCATGATCCCCTATTGCCCAGGGGCCCCATAAGTTGTCAGTCCGCCCCTGGTTGGGTACTAAAAGCTGGTTTGTACTTTTGTGGATTAGATTCATATTTTCAGTTGTTGTGATAATCAAAGCCTAACGTCTTTTATTTTAATTTCACTTTTCATGCCTCCTTCATTTTCTTCTGTGTTTTCAGTGGATGGATGCATACATCAGGCAGCAGGTCAACTCTTGAAGCATGAATGCAGTTCTCTTGGTGGCTGTGAAACTGGACAGGCAAAAAATTACCTGTGGCTACCTACTTCCCGCCAGATGTGAGTATAACATACCAGCGTACATCTCTTGGACGTCAGATACAATATGTTCTATAAATTTATGTCTTCATCAATATTTCAAGACTACTTATTAAAAATAATCTCTAAAAAAACTAGTCATTCAGAATTCTGATTTTATTGTGTATGAAATATCAGTACTGTGCTAGAGTTAGAAAGACTACTGAGTTTACCTTTAAATTTTACATTTGTAGCACCCTCCTAGATAGATGCTAGGTTAGATAAATTTAGTTCTTTAGCACTCCTATAGTCAGTGGAGCTACTTGTGATTACTCTGGTCTGCTCTGAGTTTTACAGTCTGTGGGTTTGACTGCTTCCCCGTGCCTCTGGATGGTTCTCGAATGTAGTGGGCTGGAAGAGTCAGATTTACATATTCTGAATATTTATGTGGTCCCAGCCAATCCCTGGGGAAGGAAACCAAGTTGGTGTCTGGATGGCAGCATAGATAATTTGAGGCTTGAAGTAGAGGGGTTCTTGTCCAGGAGGAGAAGACACCACCCTGAAGGGCTGCTGCCCTTCTGGGCAGTTTAGCTGTGCTCCTTTATTCACTCATCGAGGTTCCAGCTGTGCTAGCTGGGGGAGAGACTATTCTACTGAACTTTGCTGGAGCTAACTTTTTGGGGATCTAGTCCAAACAGTTCACAGGGGAAATGTCTGGCTGATATTGCAAGGAGGCCAATGATCCAGAGACATTTATGAGTACAGACCAGTATGTGACATCCCAGTGACTGTGTACTGCTGCTCTCCCTTTTGCATTGGAGCAAGCTTGTGTGTAAAGTGGACATTGCTCATGCTGTCCCTGTGCATCTCAGCTCATCATTTGTTGCAACAAAGACTGTGCTTAGAATCTGTAGGAGGAAAATAGGTTTCATCAAGTTACTACTTGATGTTACCTGAGTATCCCACAGCTACCCTGCACCCATCCTAGTTCAAGTTTTCAATAAAGCATCAAAAACGAATACCCCCAAACTAATCATTGAGCCAGAAGAGAGACCAAGACTGTGTGGCTGGCTGCTAGTGCACTTGTTGGGGAAAGAACCTTGGGACCAAATCAGCGGACCCTTTTGGGGGTGAGTGCTACACATTGTTTTACTTTAGCAGATAAAACTGATTTTTCAGAGGGTCTTGAGAAGGAAGCACAAACATTTGTCTTGCTACAAGGAGCCTACTACTGGGTGGTAGGTTAGGGGTTTGTATAATTTCTTATGAGTGGTGTATATTATTAGAATGGATGTGTAGCCTAGACACACTGATCTCTATGTATGTAGACTTAGGAAGAAAGAAAGAATTCAAGCACCAGATGCCATGTGACCATAGTTATGTGAAGAAGGGGCAATACTATATACAGAATCAATATTGGTATGACATTAGTGGTGCTATGTGAGTAGGAGGCCACTGTATCTATTTCACAGCAAATTTTCAGGTCTGCCTGCAGTATACTGGAATAATGTCCACCATATGCAAGTGCCATCTCCTGGCAGTATCTTGTGATTGCCTTAAATATAAATAGATTAAGCTCATTCTCTTTGTCTTTCTTTCTAGTGCAAGTTGACGCTTATACCTGTAGGCTACTCATTGGAGCTAGATGGTTTATGACACTCTCACTTTAAATGTTCTCTCTCTAGGATTAAACCATCTTCCCATTACAGGCTGTGGTGTGTTATTGCTTTGTATAATGTAATGCAAGGTTTCTTTCTACTAGATGTCATTCATACAGTGGGTCCAGTGGCGGAGGGAAATCCAGGGCCCAGACAGAAGGAGGATCTGAGTAACTGCTACAAGAACAGCATGTATCTGGCATCTGAGGGCAAGCTCCGCTCATTGGTGAGATACTGTTATTGTTATCTTAAACCCTCTTTTTTTCACTTTCAGCATTTGATTTAATCACTTACTGATTATGCAGCCTTTTTATTTTTTTTTAATCCATGTCTTTGTTCCAGTATAAGCTTGTGCTATGATCTTCTTTCGAGGTGGCTCTTTTCTTTTGCAATATCCCATGGAGCCACCCTTGAATGCAGAGTCTAGAGTTGTGTCTCTCTACATTCATGTGTACCAATAGAAATACACAACCCTGTAGCCTAGGATGGCAGGGCACTCCCCTGCTCCTTCCTCCTCACCCACGCTTCAAGCTAACAGACTGGCTTGAGACTTCACTCTGCACTGTTAAAAGAGAAATATTTGTTTTTATTTTAAATCATACTTACTTAGGTGGATGCAGCATCATTCCCATGCTGCATCTGTCCCCCGTCAGCTCTAAGGGTGAGAGCTGAGTGATCAGACACCACTGATTGCTCAGTTCTCCCTGCCGCTGTGAACAGAGAGCCAGGACAGTCATTCACTACTGTTTGCTCTGCCCCTCCAGCGCTAACTGGAAAGCTGGGCTGTGGAGGTGGTGGGAATGGCTGGCTCAGGCTGTCAGTGGATCTCTGGGAGGCTGAGCCAGGTGCCAGTCTAGGCTCCTGGGTGATCACGACCATATGGTTGCAAACTTTTCCCAGCCTGGACCGGCTGAGTGACGTCAGCCAACAGTGGACTTTAGCCCACTGTCAGCTGAAAACGGGTCCACAGGAGAAGTACAGCCAAACAAGCTTTGTCTGTACTTCTCCTTTAACTCCTTCTTCTTGTAAAAACTGGAAGTTCAGGAAAGCTGCAAAGAGCACAGGAACCAGCAGCATTGAAAGTTGTAAGAATTTTAACAAATAGTTTTCTTTGAAATATTCATTTTTTTGTGCTCAGTTTATAAAAAAAAAAACCACCGAGGGTTTAATAATACTTTAACTGTAAAGCTTTAGATGTGGAATATGTGTCCTTATTTAAAATTCTCTAGTACTTAGCTGCTCTACATTTCCTATTCATTCATTGTCAGGCTTAACAAATCTGTAATACTTCCATTTATTTTATACCTCCTCTTTCCTCTCACAACCCCCTCTCTTTTCTGTCCATTTATCATTGCAGACCATGAATACCTCTAGTGGTTCAATAGACGTATTGACTGTAGCCTTCCTGCATGATAATACATTTACTCTAGTTATGCTTGCTATCTAACTAATCCATGGATCACTGTGACTTTTATTATTTTTCTGTAATATTAATTGCATCTCATCAACAAAATAAATAACCATATGGCACCAATGACTAATCGTAGAAATAAAGAAAAATGTAAACCTCCATTCTATCTTCTATATAGTGATGCAAGTGTTCTGCAGTTTGCAATCTAAAAAAGAAATCTCAAGGGCACATGACTTGATATCATGTATATTTCTGTTATTCATATAACGTTTTTAAAATGGTAACATATTTATTTACATAAAGCCAATCTCTTTTACATGTATATTTTAAAACATCAAAAAGCCCACACATTCCATTAAAAAAAAAAACTACTGAAACTAACATAAATTATTAAAAATAATTTAATTAAAATCTCAGTAATTACTATCCATGTGCTCTCCATTGTTAAACATGTTATATACAGTCAGGTCCATAAATATTGGGACATCAACACAATTCAACATTTTTGGCTCTATACACCACCACAATGGATTTGAAATGAAACGAACAAGATGTGCTTTAACTGCAGACTGTCAGCTTTAATTTGAGGGTATTTACATCCAAATCAGTGTGAACGGTGTAGGAATTACAACAGTTTGCAGACCTCCCACTGTTAAGGGACCAAAAGTAAATGCATCTCAATCGGATTCAGGTAAGGTGATTGACTTGGCCATTGCATAACATTCCACTTCTTTCCCTTAAACCTTTGGTTGCTTTTGCAGTATGCTTTGGGTCATTGTCCAT